GTTCGAACCCCATGTCGGACTCTAGGCTGACAGCTCAGAGTCTGGAGCCTGCCTGGATTCCGTGTCTCCCTCACTCTCTGCCCCTGCCCCGCTTGTGCTCTGTCTCTGTCTCTGCCTCTCTCTCTCTCTCTCTCTCTCTCAAAAATAATAAACGACATTTTTAAAAAATTAAGTCTTTTGAGGCATGTGAGTGGCTTAATCGGTTACGTGTCCGACTATTGATTTCGGCTCAGGTCATGATCTCACGGTTCATGAGCCCCGTGTCTGGCTCTAGGGCCTGCTTGGGATTCTCTCTCTCTCCCTCCTTCTTTGCTCCCCACCCTGCCTGCGTGCTCTCTCAAAATAAATAAATAAATATATTTTTTAAATGAAGTCTTTTAGGGGCACTTGGGTGGCTCAGTTGGTTAAGCATCCGCCTTCGGCTCAGGTCATGATCTCGAGGCTTATGGGCTTGAGCTCCATGTCAGGCTTTGCGCTGACAGCTCAGAGCCTGGAGCCCGCTTTGGACTCTGTCTCCCTGTCTCTCTGCCCCTCCCCCACTTGCACTCTGTCTCTCTCTCTCTCTCAAAAATAAATAAGCATTTTAAAAAATTAAGTCTTTTTAAACAAAGGCTCTCCCTGCCTTAGCTGCTCTGACTGGCTCCTGTCATGTCTCTCTCCTTTCCTTCACCTCCAGGCTTCTCCAAGAATGACCAGCAGGTCCTGCCTCTGACTGTCTCCCATCCCTCTCCCACCCAGCCATTTGGCATGGGCCCCCACCACTCCACACATGCAAGTGACCTCCCTGTACCTAAAACGAGGAGTCACTGGTCCCCTCTCTTGCTGACCACACCCTTCCCTGCAGAGCCCTCTGAGTCTCCCTCTTCTTCTCTTTTCCCACACTTCTGTGCTCCCGGTCCTGGGTTCATTCTCAGTGGACTTCAGACAACACTGGGGCATGGTAAAGTCCACTTCGTGCCTCTTGGGATGGGTCCTGGGTAGAGGTGTTTCCCGGCTCCAAAGAGGTGGAGAAAGAGTGTTCTGGAATGTGAGGGCCTCGCATGGTGGGGGGGGGGGCGGTCTTTGCAATCATGGACAGTCCCTGGATGATGGGGCATCGTGCAGAGAGGGATGGAGACCCAGGGAACTGAGCTCCCCAGCGGGGCCTCACCAACATCACTCAGAAAGCCCGGCCTTCCTCACACGTGCTGCTGTCCTACAGCGGCTTTAGCCTGAGGAGCCCTGGGGCTGCCCATGAAGTTGCCCTTGTCCCGGGTCCTGGCCCAAGGCCTTGGAGGGGCTGCTCCTCAGGGCCCAGCCAACCTCATGCCCACTCCCTTCAGGGCCCTCGCGGAGTCAGAGAGAGCTCTGAGCACCTGGGAGGGAAGCAGGGCCTGGGGACCTCCAAGAATTCACTCCCCAGCTGTGGGCCTCGGTCCGGTTATCTTCCCCATTCCTTCATCGGGAAGGCCCCGGCCGGCCTCAGGGCAGCCCTCCAGAGGCTTGCCTGACCTTCAGTGTGGCTATAAACAGCACAGACTGTCAGCACTGCTAGGCGCTGCCCAAGAAACAGCACTAGGGCCTCGAAATTCCAGGAATTGCCGGCACAGTTGCCCCAGAATAGTCTCGGCTTGTCCCCGTCCCCCTCCCAGGGGAACCTCTGTCCTCTACGTCCCCACTGTAGCTAGGAGATCTGACAAATACTGGAACCAAAAAACAGCAAAGAAATGAAAGCTTCTGGGCTGGTGCCCCTGGAGAGCCTGCTAGGCCGAGTGAACAAGGCTGTAAGGGATAGAGGCCTTGGAGCAGGGAGACAGGCACCCATTTCCCCTCCCCCGCCCCAGGTCCAGGCTCAGCCCTGCAGCTCCCCCATCCTCACCACCACCTCAGTGGAACAACAGGTGCACAGAATTTACAACTGTGAGCGGCAGAGCCAGACAAAAGCACACGCTTCTTCAATAACGTCAAGGGCTGCACCACGCGCCAAGGACAAGGCCCCAGACCACGGCCCCAGCCGCTGGACCGGGTGGGCTGGGCCTTTGGAGCTGCTCCTTAGAGGCTGCTCCCACCCCTCCCCCACTTCCTGGAGAATTGGCTGGGGCTGCGGCTGGGGGGTGGGGGGGAGAGGGGAGCTCAAGTTGCAGGCCCAGCCGCACCTGTCCAGGATAAATAAAGGCATTTCCCCTCCACCCTCCCATTCTCCCTCCTGAACCCACTTCTCTGTGGAGCGTCACTCGGAGACCCACAGAAGGGCGGCTGCGGGGCAGGGGGGGCGCCGCAGGGCTGCTAGGCCCCAAGGCTGATTCTGGTGGGCAGAGTGGGGTGGGGACTGCAGGTACCACCCAGCATGAGGGCGGCAGCCTTCTTCCAGTAGAAGCATCCTGTGCCTACATCTGACAGGGGACAGGCCCCATTCAGGACTTTGCTACCAATCCTCAGCCAAAGGGCTGAGGGGCAGGCCAGGGAGTCAGGGGTTTCTAAGGTCACAGGAGCTCCTGAGCAAATGGAGCCTCAGTTTGCCCTGCTCCGAAGTGAGATGGTAAATCCCAGCCCGGCCTGCCCGACCACCTCTCTCAGGACTACAGTCCACGTGCCTGGGGCTGTCAGCCCTGCTGAGAGTGAGCAAGCCCTGCTCACTTGCTGCCCCCACCCCCTGCCCCGCCGCAATGCGCCTCCACTGTCCTGTTGCAAAGGCTTAGGCCGGGACACTTGAGCATCCACTGGCTCTGCATCCCACTGAGGAAGAAAGAAGTTCCTGGTCCAGAAAGGCCTAGAGAGCCCCAGCAGGAAATACCACAGCCCTGGAGGGAGTGTCCCGGGTCCTGCCTGGCCAGCCACACTGAGCCTCGGATGCGCAAGTCTGGGATATCAGTGGCCCACCCGAGAAATTTGTCAAGAGGTCCTAAGCCCTGGGGAGGACCCAGCACCCACCCAGCTTGTTCCATGCCTTGGTGAGTTGAGGCATGCCTCTGAAGGAAGCTGAGAGGCCATTATACCTACCCCCCCATGCCCTGCCTGGGCTGCGGGTTCTATTTTTAAAGGTCCCCCCTAGTCATTGGCTCCATTACCTCCCAATACACCCTTTCCCTCCGGTGAAGACATTCTTCCTGCTGTCTAGCTTAAGGCCTCTATGCTGCAATATAAGCCCTGGGCTGGCCGAGGCCAGGTGGTGCATAGATCCTGGGTGAGGTCATTGACTATCCTGGGTGCCACTGAGACGGGAGACTAATTTCCACCCGTAGGGATGGGGCAGGGAGCACCAGCATGAGGCCTGGAGGACTGTGGGGCTGGGCAAGACTTGGGCTCAGTCCGAGGCGTGGGCTCAGTCCATGACAGTGAGGGTGGACGGCGTCTCCTTGGACAGACAGGAAACCTGTAACCTTGCTGGTAGGGAGCTGTGCAGGGTCCTGGGGCGAGGGGCTGTGTCTACTAGGGCTCAAATGCCCATGTATCCCTACATCATCAGGCAGGTATGCAAGCCTCTGGGTGTCCTTTTAGTACTGCACCCTGCGGTCTCCAGGACAGTGGGTCTGGAAGGGTGGAGACTCAGGTCAGATGAGCCAGTACTCCAGTGGGATGGAGAACTTGGCCATTTCCCCAGACTAGAGCCGGGCCAGTGCCCCCCGCTGGAAGACTGTGGCTTTCATGACTGTTATGAAGCCTTTATGTCACCAGTGAATGGGGCTTCTCCTTCTTGGGGTCCCCCCAAGCGCCCACACCATGTTCCACAAGCAGGAGTGCTCCTCCATGGGGGCACTGGCTCCCTCTCCCCTCTGCCAAGCACCTGCAGGCCTCCCCTGGATGCCCACCTCAGTGCCTCCCAGCTCGCCCCCACCCTCCACTCCCAGACCCACATCAGAGCTCTGCTGTCCTCCCTGTCCCTCAGTGGGCAGGGGTCCAGCCTCCCTGGCCCATCCATCACCCTCCAGTGACAGGCTGGAGCCTCAGCCTGCCCCCTTGTGCCCACACCAGCAGCGCAGGAGCCTAGCCGCAGCCTTACCCCATCAGGCAGGGCTTACCTTTGCCCTCTCACACCTCACAGCCCACCCTGAGCCTCGGGGCCTTTACCGCAGCTTGGCCAGACTTGCTGGAGAGCCCCTTGACAAGTGTTGACTGAACGCTTACTGTGTTCTAGACACCGCTATAGGTGCTGGGGACAGGGCCGTGGCTAAAACATAAACAGCTTTCTCCCAAGCAGATCTAGCTTCTTGCCTCTCTGGACTTGAGTGTTCCCGGCGAGGCATAGAGCCACTCAGACAATCCCCAGTGATCTGTGACACCCCCAGGAGGCTGTTCCCTGACCACAGACACTCCACGACACACGGACCATTTCCCCAGGTGAGCACAAGGAATAAGATGTCAGACAGGCAGGGAGAGAGCAACTGTGGCTGAATGAGTAGGGGCCCGGCCAGGTGAGGGAGGAAATGGGCCCCAGCAGGCCCAGGAAAGGGGAGTGGAGATGAGGCTGTTACCTGGAGCCTGGGATGAAGGGCGTGCTGGAGCCCAGTTACCAGCCTAGCCCAGCTCTGAGCCCCAGCAGCAGGGCAGCTGAAGTCATCAGTCTGTCCATCTATCTATCTGCTGGTCTGTCACCTGCTCTCTCCATGCTAGGAGTGCCCTCTCCCCAGAGCAGCTACCCCATTCCATGGAGGTGCTCTAGGCTTGGGGGTACCCTGAGCCCACTCTCCCCAGGGAAGGGCTTAGGAAGGTGCTATACTCTGTTGACCAGCTTGCCTTCCCAGCAAACTTGGCATTTCCTTCTTGGCTCAAAACACCCACTACTTGCCCATGTTTCAAACTCACGACACGTTGGCAAGTTCAGGTAGACAACAGCTATGGCCAAAGCCAAGGGCCTGTGGCCGGCAGTGTCCAGTTGGAGCCAGTCCCAGCCCCAAGACTGGGGATGGGACATGCTCTGCTCTCCGAGAGCCTCAGGGAGGATGGCAGAGGGATGCATACACCCTCCTCTGAGAGTGCCCCTCCCCTGTGGGAGCCAGGCTGTGTGGGCAGTGCACACTCACCCGGGAGATAGTGAGCGGCATGTTGAAGTCCTTGCCCCCCTGGAGACGGAAGCCCCAGGGCCCGGGCCCGGTCAGGGTCACGCTATAAGACATGCTGGTGCTGACAGCGGCAGCCTCTGTGAACAAGAGAAGAGAAGGGTGAGAGGGCCCTCATGCACCCACCTCCCCAGCCTATACCGGGACCCCTATCCCCGACCCCCAGCCTTGCCTGCTCCGTCCCTTGCTGCCCGGCCAGGCTGTGTGCAGCTCCTGAGAGGCTCCTAAGAATAGCTGGGAATGAATGCCATCGACGCTGATATCTGCCCTCTGCTGCGCCCATAAATGGACTGTAACCCTACACTCTGCCCGCCCGCAGCCTCCCACCGTGACTCACACGGCTAATATTGCCCCTGGGGAGGGGTGTCCAGCACCCAGCACCCCCCAGGGGGCAGGATGGGGGACTGGCCAGGTTAGTGATAATGCTCCCTCCTCCTTGCTCCCTCTGCCCTTTGGAAAGCCCAGATGTGTGCTCTCTCTGCCCAGTTCGATCCACCCCTTTGCCCAGAAGACTACGGCTGAGATACTTTGGGCAGGGGCTTTGCAGTTTGTGTCTTTCTGCCCTGTGCTCCCCGGTGAGGTCTCTGAGGTTGTAGCTTACCCAGTAGGAAGCCTGGGACCAAGCTGAGCCTCCAGCTGGTCTGGACAGAGCTTCTCTTCAGGAGATTGGCAACTGGTCCAGGGTTGTCCAGCAGTGAAAATGATCAAATAATAACAGTATCTCTGGTCATGGCAAAGCTCAGCTCCAGGTCCCTCATGCCATTATCCCCTTAGAGCCTGAGAGGTTCCAACCTCGACCTGAGGCAACCAGGGTTCAGAGAGGTTAAGTGACTTCTCAAAGGTCACACAGGGAGTGGATCCAGGCCAGGCTGGAGCACCTGAATGGTGCTCATTCCTACTGGGCTTGTGCCAGATAATGGGTTCCCAGTGGCTGCAGGCACCTCCCAATTCTCAGGCCAGGCATGGGGGTGAAGGGCACAGGGTCTTGGCACAGGGTCCGAAAGCAGGTCTGAGGCAGGCCCACACCCTCCAGACCCTCTAGGGGCCCAGAGGTTATTCCTGGCTCTCCTGTCTCATTTGTGCTCTGGAAAACTTGACAGCAGCATGGAAAGCTCCAGCTGCCAATGTCGCACGCCAGGCCCCCATGCCCTTTGCACTGGAATGGCAGGGGGCAGGGAGGAGGGGAGGAGATGCCATTTGCTCAGCTGCTGGGATGTGGGGCCAGAAGGCATAAGGAGGGGTAAGTGCGTGCAGTGTATGTCCAGCTTGTAACCCAAAGACAGTGTGTTCCGGGTGGGGACCTGGGGACCTGGGCCCCTTGGGACTCCAGCCAGTGTGTTCTTTGGGCCAAGATACCTCCACAAGCCCTTCCTCAGAAGAGACTTCAGGCCTTGTGTGGTCTGGAGATAGATCAAGGCCCAAACTGGCTCTGGCTGGGGAAACTGAGGCTCGGAGAAGGTGAAGGTGACACCTTCTTCGGCTTTCTGGGAAGGCTCTAGCCTAGGCTATGCCCTGAGGACTCCGTGTGGGCCTGGGTGTGAGGACTTCCCAGCTGCCATCACCCCACCTCCTGCCCTGGCACATACGACACACATGGTAGCATCCCCACATCACAGGGTCATTTGGTAACTTGCCCAAGTTCACAAAAATATCAAGCAGAAGAGGCCAAGGAGGGACCTGTATTCTTTTCCCCATTACGCCACCTCTTCTGCTGTGTATCATACAGCCCAGGCTGCCCAGGCCTGGCCCGGGAAGCCAGGAAGTCCAGGAAGCTCATGGCTAGCACCCCACCCTCCCCATAGCATCCCCTACTCCTCTTCCAGGGCCCCTCCCATCCATCCCCACCTCCAGCTTTGCCCCCTTTCCTGGGTGGGGTCTGTCCTGCTAAGCCGGAAAAGACCCAGCAGCAAGGCTTGACCAGTGTGGGGAAAGAAAGGAGCCCATCCTGTAGGGGGAGGGGAAGCCCCCACCCCCACCCCCAGGGCTAGGCGCTAGGCAGTACCTGCAGCTGCTTGCTCTTTCTCTGGACTCTGGAACCCACACTGCCTGATGCTGCCTCTGGGGAAAGGGAGGGGTAATGGGAAGGATGCTCTTAAAGGGGAAGGCCAGCCTCCCTCCATCTGCCTCCCCTGGGAGAGCCAGCCAGAGAGGAGCTGGTGCCCACAGGCTGGGCGTGAACCGCTTCCCTGATAACAGCAGCTTACTGGGGGGTGGGGATGGGGACAAGCCTGGTCTTTGTCCCTTCTCCGCTCTGCCCCTCACAGTTTGAGATGGAGGCTTCAGGAGTGAGAGTTGCAAGGATGGGGACAGAGGGAGGAGAGAAAGAGGCTGCTGGGGGCATCAGAGGCCAGACCCTGGGTCTCCCTCCCACTGTGACACCAATAGGTAAAAACCATGCTTCTCTGCTTTTTATTTTCCCATACACTGTCAGAGCCATGAGATGATCTCAGGTCACTGACAAGCCACGGGTGCAGTGTGTGCACACATGTGTTTGGTGTGCATGCAAACACGCGCAGGTAGGAGAGTGTGCCTGAAAATGTATGTGTGCACAAGAGTGCAGGCCGTGGCACAAACAGCACTGGGGAAACAGGAAGGGGGGTCATGGTGAAGAACAGTTTCCGGCGCATGAAAGTCTGTGCTCAGCTTCCACTGCTGGCTGCCGGAGACGGGGTGCTGGCCTGCTCATGTCAGTGAAATGCCCAGCCCGGGTGCAGAGACAGCTCATAAGTAGCTGGCGTGTCCCACGGAGCCATCACCATTGTCATCGCCTGGACAATCACAGCACACAGCATTTGAGGAGAGGCTGATGACTCCGGGAAGCAGGAGAGCCTGGGCGGAGCCTGGGGTGCAGGCTGTTGAGATGAGAAGTGGGTGCAGAGCATGTGACAGGGCAGGAGTTTTGTGGGGCGGGGCCCCGAATCCAGCACAGCCTGGGTGACAGGGCCACTTCCAAAGCCTGCAGGTTCATGGGGTGATCCTGGGTCTGTGTGCATGAGGGGGAGGTGAGGGAGCTGGATGTGTCCTGGAAGAAAAGGGGAGCCAATGGGCACCCTACATCCTGGGGTCCCGGCTGGAGAGCAGCCCCTTGGTCTGAAAGCAAACAGCACACATGTGTTTAGCCTCAGGAGTGTCCCACTGGGACAAGTCTCCCAGTGACCCTCCATTGTTTAGGGTCACCGAGTGGCTAAGGGACATTGCGTGGAGGAGCCAGGTTGTGTCGTGGCTGGGGCATGGGCCTTCTCTGTGGCCGTAGATGTTGTGGCCTGGAGGATGGAGCCTGTAATATCTAAGGCCACCGGCAAGACCTCCCCCTGGGCTGCCCCCAGGCTCCCGCAGTCAGGCAGGACTGAGCTCTCCTCACCCCCACCGGCCAGTGTCCTCTTCCTCCACTCCTTCTGGGGGCCCTGAGTCTCCTCTCGCCCTGTGGCCGCAATCACCTCATTTCTTGCCCGTCTTACCGCATCAGCTTCCTCCAGGCTTCTCCCTGCCGGCTCATTCCATTCCGGCTGCCCTTCCAGAGCCCCACCACCCCGCAAGGTTGAGCGAGCCTATCCCCGCTAAGTCCTCCAAGGGTCAAGGCTAGAGACCCCTCAGGTCAGTATCTGATTGGGCCTCCGCACAGTTCCTACTGCCCCCTGCCCTTCTTTCTTCTCTTCTATCCCTGCCACCAGCTCCCGGAGTCCCTCTGGCTGTTCCCGGGTCACAGAGCAACATTCTGTTCCAGGACACGCCAAGCTCCCCAGTGGCACCCCTTGTTCCCGCAGGCTGTTTTCTCAGCCTGGACCGCTCACCATGACCCCCATCCAGCCTGGCAACCCTTGCTTCACCTCCACCTTCCTGGGGAGCCCTCAGGGACTTGCCTCTGCCTTCAGCACCTTGTGTACTGATACCTCGATGGCAGTGCTTATCGCACGTGTTAGGTGATGGCTGATGTGCTGTCCCTCTCTGCCCAGTGCCCCAGCCTGGCCCAGTATTCCCTCCAGGACAGACACACTGCCTGTCTTTCATCACTGCCTGTCTCTATCCTGGCCTCTGTGGCTGTTCACAGTGCCCAGGGTCAGGGCTGGGGAGTGAATCCTCCCTGGAGCTGGAGAATCAAGGGAGCCGTGCTCCCTGGGAGAGGTGGAAGTTCAGCAACTGGAAGGGGCAGCCCAGGGTTCCCCCTCTCTGCAACACCCAGGGGGCCGCCTTGGGGAAGTAAGGCAGGACGTGGTCTCTGGTCTCGGGCTTGCTGGGGAAGCCCAAGAGATCCCAGGAGCTGGGGGTGTTGTGTGGGTGTGAACAGTGGGGCCAGGTAGAGAGCTGTCAGCTGAGGGGGAAGGGTAGCCTCAGGGCCTGTGCACACGGCATTTCCAGCGTTCCAGAATATGGCCTTCTCTAATCGCCATCGACATTCCGTTCCATAGGCACTTGGGCTGACAGCTGGCTTTCTTTTAATAGCCACAAGTATTCTGGGTGACATCCTAATCTCAGGGCATTCACAGCGAGCACATACACAGCTTACAGCACCCACCCCCCAGTACATCCAGCCTCCAATCACACAGAGGGACTCGCCACCCACACTTGGTCACACGCAGTGTAGAGCAGACATGTTGGGGCACACTCAGTCCTATGCCCTGTGGTGTCACAGGGACAGAGAACATGTGCCGGGCACATGGTCACACACATACACAAGTTACGCTCCACTCAGTCAGGCACGCCACACACTGTCACGGTCACACATACTCCCACACATGCTGTACGATCATCACAGCACTGCAGAACCACTACCACCAGCAATGTATGTGCATAGTCAGGGTCACACAACCACACAGACACTCTCAGGCATGGTCACAGACCACACTCAGGTCTGCTCAGAGCATCCTGGAGTCACAGAGACCCCCAGGCACCCACCGCAGGCAAGGGATAGCTGAGTGGGGAGGGAGCGATTCCCAGAGGGCATTGGGCCCGCCCACAAGAACAGTTCCCCTTTCCTGGCCACTCCCTGGGCTACTTGCCCCTTGTCCCCACCCCCTTACAGACTGGCAGGTGCCCGGCCCAGTCACCTTCACAGGCGTCTCTGCTTCCTGTCCCTGGAGACTGACAGGGGCCTTGGCTTCCATGTCCTCCAGGCCCTGACTGCAGGGGAAACGTCCACTCACTTCTCGGGCAGCCCCCCACACCGCTGCTGCCTCCGTGTCCATCCAGCCCTGGGTAAGGTGAGAGAGTCACTGTGAGGTGAGAGGGACATCCCAAAGTCTTGCTCTTGCCCTCTTCCCCAGCCAAGTGTTTCTCCATTGTCCACACAGGTATTCACTAAGGCAGGGACCGTGACACTGTAGGCTTGCTGGTCACCAAATCCCTGCAAACTCTGATTGCCTGTGCTAGTGTGTGTGCGCACATGCACTTGTGTGTCTTCCTAAGCATGTGGGATGGGTCTGTCTTCACGAGGGTCTAGGCCTCTGTTGACAGAGAAGATTTACTCCTTGATGTCATGCACTACAGTGGTTCAGGGAAGGGACCTCTGACAACTCCTCCCTCAGCCCCTTAACGCAGACCCCCAGGGACGGAAACAATGGGAAGAGGTCAGTGGAGATTCTTAGCGAGGCCCATGAAGGGCCCTGTAGTTACAATGATGGAGGAGCCCAGGTGTGGGTGGGAGACAGGAGCCCACAGCACAGAGGGCTCTCCTGGGGACAGCTAGCTCCTGCCTGTCTCATGGGAGGCCCTTCGAGGGCCACAAATGCCTGTCTTTCCAAGCCGTGGCTCTAAGCCCCTGGAATAATGCCAGCATGGAAGAGAGATGGCCTAGAGTTGGAAGATGCGTGTTCAGTCCTGGCCCTGTTACTGGGTGACCTTGGGCCAATGCATTGCCTCTCTGGTGCCAGGGTCCCTGCCTGTCAGGCAGTGGGGGGGGATGGTGCAAGGGAAAGCCATGGAGCAACTGTGTGGGGCTCTTCCTGCCCGCATCCCAGGGTCCTGAGGGTCCCTGAGTCTCAGAGGCAGCCCTGCCCAGAGGCCTGAGGAGGGCAAGGTGCTGGCCAGCAAGGGCTTACCACCTCACTTTCCGAGCCTAGGGATGCCTGGAGTCTCTGTCCGGAGATCCAGCTGAGGTCTGAGGTCTGGCTGCTCAGGGTGGAGCGGTGGGTGGAGCGATAGCTGGCGTAGGGGCCCGTGCGCTGACCCGACACGCCCAGCAGCACCCCCAGGCAGGGCAGGTGCTGGGCAATGGCCATTCTGCAAGGACAGCACACCTGGTTAGGGGGATGGACAGGCAGACACCAGGAGATGGGGTGGATGGACAGACAGCTACGGGGTTAATGGGAGTGGACAGAAAGCACTGGGGAAATGGGGAGTTTCAGACGTTGTGGTTATGAGGACAGACAGTTGATAGGGTGACGACAATGGGCAAAAAGACACTGGCAGTCAGTGGAGGGGATGAGGAAGGACAGACAGACACTGGGGTGAAGGAGACTGACAGGCTCATAGTGTTGGGGATGGACAGACACAGAGGCCATGGGCATGGAGGGAGAGCCTTTGGGGGACAGGTTCAGCAAGGTGCTTGGTTTCAGCTCTCATGTGTCTGGCCCAAGCCACATCTCTTCCAGTGAGGACCAGGGACACTCCTAGGCAGCCTCTGAGCCTGCCCCTGGCCTCAGCAGGGCGGTGAGTTACTGACACCACCAGGCAAAACAAAGCACTGAAGGCCTCCTTATGGAAGAGGCCAGCTGTGCTGGGATTCTATCAGCAGAGAGCGCTCTGGGCCAGAACCACCCCCAGACCTCTGCCAGGGCCCTTGAACCTCTCCAGACTGTGGTCTCTCCAGGACATTGCTCTCTGGGGGCTTCTGTTTGTAGGGGGTAGCACTGCTGATTGGCCATCCTGGCTGCCTTTTGGCCCTGGTTCCAAAAATCCCATAGTCGGGAATGGACACTGTCCAGGAGGCTCTGATGTCCCTCCAAGCTGAGCCCCCTGGGAAGCTGGGGCAGTAGGGGGGGTGGGTCACAGCAGCTCCAGACCCCACCCAGTGTCACTGGCTGCTCCCAGCTGCTAGAGGCCCTGTGTATACGAGAGATAGGAAAGATGGCCGGCCTATGCCCCCATTCACTGCCTCAGGCCCTCCATGCCCATGAGGGTGGGCCTGGGGACTGGGGCCGTGTCCCGGAGAAGGGCCGCACCTGTATTTGGGGTGGGTGATGGCATAAATGATGGGGTTGTGAATAGCAGAGGCCTTGGCGATGACAGCCGGCACGGAGTTCATGTAGGGTGTCAGCACGTGCGCGTACCTAGGACAGAGAAGCTGTGGTCCCCCCTGCCACCTGGCCCTCCTAGAGCCTCCACAACCCATCTGCCCTCTTAGGAACCTTGTTTGTCTAGTCCAGGCCCTGTGGGGCACAGCCCAGCCTGGCCCAAGCCAGCACAGCCGAGTCAGCCCCCTGAGAGGGACTGCCATGCCGGGTGCATTCTGATCTGAGGTGAGCGGGGAATCTGGGGAGCAGTTGAGTGAGGGGGGCAGAGAGGAAGGTGTGCCAAGCTGGGAGGTTGCGCCAGGTCCCACTATAGCTTGGAGCCTGTGCTGCTGGCAGTAAGCCCTCCCAACCCCTGGTGACTCTGGCCCTCTGCCCGGCTCCTCCCCTCACCAGAGAGCCTTGGGGAGGACCAGGCCATCCTGCACAAGGAGGTCTCATACCCAAATACATCCCAGGATTAATAAGTATCACTGTCTCAAAACATTTCTCAAGTCTGCCCTAAGTCCACGCTGCTACGGACATCAAGGTCCCCAGACTCTAGCCACAAAGGACTGGCAGGTGGCAGGGGAGCGGCTCTCCTGGCTTGGTGTCCACAGGTGAAGAGGGAGCCAGAAACTCAGGGAGAGGTATGTGTTCCCATGGGATCTGGCAGGACCTGGTGGCCCTTGCAGGCCCTCGGGTCAAATCCAGTGTGGCCCAGGCACCCCCCCCACCCCCCGACACCGCATGTGTGCATTCCAGTCCCTCCAGCAGGTGGTGTGCCCATCTCCCGCAGGGAACCTCACACCCCAAGAATGAACAGGGCTGTAAGACCAGACTTCAGGTGTGAGGATGGCTGGCTTGGGCAGGGGCTTGGGTTGAGGAGGGTCCCCTGACCCTCCTCCCTCCCACCTCCGGCCCCTGCCCCAGCCCCCTGGGTACTGCTCACCCAGCAAAGGCCATCAGGGCCACAACGGAGTAGGGGGCCCAGGAGAGCACGAAGAGAAGGATGACCAGCAGCTCGATCTTGGCCATTTTCCACTCTCTCTGCAGCCGCTGCCGTTGCCGGGGGGACCTACCACCGCCCTCGCAGGCCCTGAAAGTCTGGAGAGCCCTAGGATGGGTGCAAAGTCCAAGTCTGACCCCACTCTGGCTGCAGTGGGTGCCGTGATCATGGCCGCTGTGGGGGAGGCCTCCCGGACCTGGTCATTCCCTCCAGTACAGGAAGCCCTGACTCCCAGAAAGTTCTCCACCACATCCAGCCTAAGCTGCCTCCCTGTGGGTCCCCCTGTGATGTCTTCTCTACCCTCACAGACCTCCTGACCAAGCCTAAAGTTCCCCTCCTCAGAAGCCCCTGTCTCCTGGGACTTCTCCAGGCACCCAGGTTGTGCTCACCTCTAGACAGCCCACCCCCTATGCACATGTGCTTACCGTGTCTTTGCCCACCTGGGGTGAGAATGTCCTGGGTGGGTGCAGATATGAGCCTGGGGGCAGGGTAGGGGCAGCCCTGGAAAGGGGTGTGGCCACCCTCCCATCTAGCCCCTCCTCTGCACCCAGTTCTTACTGGCCTGTCTCCCGGATGGCCCTAAAGATGAAGATGTAACAGTAGATGATGACAAGCAGGGGCAGGAAGAACACGAAGCAGAAGAGCAGCATCGTGTAGGCTCGGACTGATGGTGTGAAGCTCATGTAGTCCCAGGAGCAGGAGGTCAGCAGCCCCTCGGGTACATAGGCGCCTGGAAGCGGGTGGATAGGCGCTCAGCCTTCAGGGTAGTGTGATTCAGGCTCCTCCTCCAGCAGGGGCTTTGGATGTGGGCTCTGGGATCCCTGAACCCTGCTCCCAAGCCCTGCCCTTCCCAGTTCAGTGAGGAAATCCGTGCATGTGGAGGGGAGCTTTCCAAGCCAGTTCTAGCAGGCAAAGCCCGCTGCTGCCTATTTTTGCCGGTTTGAAACAGAGACCTCACCATAGCCCCAGGGTCTTACTCCACCAGATTTTGGCCAGGTGTTTGATCCTGCCACAAAAAGGTGGGTACCTCCCTGCTAATGCTCCTACCGGCTGAAGCCCCACCCCCAACACCTGCATGTCTGACACTGCAGCTCAGCATCAGATGCATCTGTCACCTCGCACCACCTAGAGGCCATGTGGTCTTCCCCTGTACCGGGAGAGGGGAGCCCAGGACATCCTCTGATTGCTGATGGTACATCAGTTTCCCCTGTTGCTAGTCATATGCCCTGAATATCCATTTGCTTTGAGCCTCAAACACTCCCTTGGCCCCCCTGCCAGCTGGCCACCCCAAGTCTACCCACCTGCCCCTTGAACATGCCCCTCCCTGCTCATCTTCCCCTCTCCTTATTCCCCCAGTTCACTTACTCCAACCAAAGAAGGGTGGCAGACTCCAGGCCAGGGCGTAGAGCCAGACGCCCAGCAGGACAAACGCCGCCCGCCTCTTGGACACCACCCCGATGGTGGCCAGTGGGTGCGTGATCACCAGGTAGCGGTCCAGAGCAATGGCCATCAGGGTAATCATGGAGGTGATGCCAAAGAGAGCCCCACAGAAGGCATAGAACTCGCAGCCTGTGGGCACAGGTCCCTGACCTCAGACCTCGGCAGGAGCCCGTAAGGTACCCCAGGGGAGGGAGGGCCTGGGGATGCCACATACTTAGCTCCTGCCCTCTTCTCTCCAGAAAAGCATCCCTGAGCCCCTCTCCACCCTGGCCACTTGGTAAGTCTGGCCCAGAAGTTGAGTCTTCCCTCTGGCTCGCTTACGAGATTGAGGGTGGCCGCACGTTCTCTGCCCAGGAAGAGTAGATCGCCTCCTCATCCAAGGCCACCCTTCACTGTGGGCGTGGCCCACCACAATCCTCCTCCTCCCTCCAGCAGAAGGGAACCCTGAACGTCTACCTGCCTCCCCGAAGAGCCACCGCTTATAGAGGCTGCTGGCGAAGAAGACGGGGGCCTGGGTGAAGGACATGAAAAAGTCGCTGACCGCGAGGTTGATAATGAACATGTTGGCCGGTGTCCTGAGGCTTCTGCTCCTGTGGACGGTCGGAAGCTGTCAGGAAGTGCCTCTGAACTACGTGTGCACACACACACACACGCACACACATGCCGCTGCACATGCAGTCATGTACACATGTACAGGCACCAGCCATTGCGCCACAATCCAACTTGCTGCCCAGCCAGCACCAGCTCTGGAGCCTGACAGCGTAGGCTGAGAAGTGAGGGCCCCCGAAAGACAGCAGCCCTTGCCTTGTATGGAGAGCAATACCACCCCCAGAGTGCTCTGCAGTCCGGCAGAAGCAGGAGCTAGCTCTAGGATGCATCTGTTTCCTCCTCTCCTTCTGGAACCCCCTGCATGACCCACACTCTCAATGGACACACCCCTCACTCCTCTGAACCCCTCCAGGCCAAGTTCTCCCAAGTGGTTCCTCCCGCCATGTGCTCAGACTCTGCCTTCCCCAAGAGTTTCTCACACCTTCCTCCTCAGGTGCCCTCCTTATTCCCCTAATTCCAGTATTTCTGCAGACTTCAGGGACGACCCAGGCTATGCCCTACTGGTCAGGCACTTTCACAGACTTCTCTCCCGTAATTATCCATCTTTGCATCTATGCCCTCCCTCTTTTTTAGATGGGAACACTGCGCTTCCCACCCAGGAAGTGGCTTGCTCCTGATAACAATGCTCAGTTAAGTGGCACTGCCAGGATTCAAACACATATTTGATGGGCACTGCACAGCCATGGACTTACTTAATCATCGCATTGACTCCATGAGGTCAATCACAGCTCCGTTTGGCCAACAAGGTAAATGGACTCCCAGAGGATGAGTCACTTGTCCAAAGTCCGTATGCTAATAGGTAGTAAGGTCAGGGTTCACTTCTTCCCCTCCCTGTCCCACTATTTGGTCCAGGAATGGGGCAAATGGGGAAGGAAGCTGAAGGTGGTTTCCAAGGGTGGTTGCGGAGGGTCCAGAGGATTAAGGATCCTGTTGCCTGGGCTGCTTTTCGAGGCAGAGGAAGGATACCCACTGGGGCAGGTGACATGGAGGTGAGCTGAGAACAGGGTTGAATGGGCAGAGGCTCATGTGTCATAAGGACATTCATCTTACACAGAAACTGTGCCTGGGGCCAGTGGGCATGTGCCACTCAAGCTGCCCTGCACTACTTTTTTCCCTAAGCTGGAATATGGAGGCCTGCCCTGAGACCACTGAGGGCTTGGCCATGGTGTCCCCAACCAGGCTCAACGGGGCCCTGGCAGAGCTGGTACTAGACTTCTTGCCCTGTCTTTGCCTGGCCAGCTGCCCTCAGTGCCCATGCCCACCAACCAGGTACCTGCAGAAGGTATAGATGACCATCAGATTGCCCAGAATCCCCGTGAGCCCCACCAGCAGGATCACTGTGCCCAGGGTGTAGTGGGCATGGTCCGGAACATCAACCGTGGGGAAAGGGATCCAGGCAGCAGCCTGAGCCCTGGCTACCTGCGGAGAGACAGAGGAATAAGAGCATTGCGTTATCCTGTCATCTTCAAATAACCCTGAGAAAGAAGGGTTAGGGTTTCCATCGGGCAGGTAGGGAGACTGAGGCTCAGAGTGGCACAGCCACTTGCCACACTACTAGGAAGTGACTGAACCAGAGTGGAAATGCAGGTCTCTCTAAAGTCAAGCTTGAACTCCTATACCATGACACAGAAGCATGAGGCTTCTAGGATCACCTGTCTGAGGCTGGTCGGACAGACAGACACATGTCTGTCAAGGAGGAACATGACTGGAACAAGTCTACCTTTCCTTGGGGAGAAGGCAGAGCTATCCCCTGGGTGGCTTCCTCTCCACTGTATAGGCCCTGACCCAAGCACTCAAGGTGGTCGGCAGTGGTATTCCAGGCCCTATAGACTCGGGTGGTGGAAGTGGGTAGAACCCTCCTTCCTCAAGACCCCCAGCCTCAAAGTAAAGGCTGCATTCCCCCACAGTATAACTGGATAGGGCTGACCTTGATATCTAGCATGGGAGAGAAGAAAGGAATTTTCCTTTAAAAAGAAAGCTTAGGGGGTGCCTGGCTTGCTGGTTCAGAATAGCATGCAACTTTTAATCTCGGAGTCACGAGTCTGATGTTGGGTGTAGAGATTACTTAAATAAATAAATAAACTAAAAAAAAAAAAAAGCTTAGGTCTCCCAGGGTCACTGCAGGGAGGTCATGACCCTATAGGCCAGTATAAAGGGCTTTAAAGACCCCTCTCCCCCAGCTCATTTCCTGGGAAGGAGAACAATTTAGTCTCGGTCTTTCCTCCAAAAGCTATAGAACCTTCCCATCCTATCCAGGATATAGGCCAGCATCCCAGGGTCCTAAAAGCCAGCCCTCCCCAGTTAACAGTGGGTTTGGTAGGGTAAGGTCTTGGGGCCCTGGCCAGAATCATGGATACAGCAGAAGGGCCCAACACCTCACTCTGGGATGGGCAAATCCAGAGGCCTAGGGTACACCTTCCACTATGGAAGGCTCCATGGAGCATCCAACCACCCTCAGAAAAGAATGGGTGCAACCAAGGGCAGGTCTGGGCCATTCCAGCGCCTTGTCCTTTACGGCTGACCTTTCTGTTCCTCGAATGCACTCCACAGGGAAAGACATTGCCCACACTCTCTTCTTTGTCCTCTTTGTAGGAAAGACTCAGAGAGGTCCAGTAACATGCCCAAGGTCCCACAGTAGAGCTCGGGCCTTTTTTTTTTTTAATGTTTTTTTTATTTTTGAGACAGAGATAGAGACAGCATGAGCAGGGGAGGGTCAGAGAGAGAGGGAGACACAGAATCTGAAGAAAGGCTCCAGGCTCTGAGCTAGCTGTTAGCACAGAGCCTGACATGGGGCTCGAACCCACAAACCTTGAGATCATGTCTGAGCCGAAATCGGACGCTTAACTGACTGAGCCACCCAGGCGCCCTGAGCTCAGACCTTTTCTATCTCCTGGTCAAAGCCCCTGTGTGTTCCCAGCAGGGAGGCCAGGGCCGGGGGAGGGGAGGCTCTGGGTGTGCACACACTGGCCCCAGACTTACCGTGGGATTGATGGGCAGAGGTTGGCCCAGGCTGGAGGTGATGCTCCAGTAGCTGTCCCACCTGCTGGGGGAAGCTGGGGTGGCCACGCAGCTGGGCTCCTGGGTTCTGGACTCCGAAGGTAGGTTCATCCTGAAGTAGGGCAGTCCTTTCTCAAGCCCACAGAGAAGTCAAGGGCACAAGGAACTCAGGATATTAGCTGTGCCCCTTCTCCCAAACTTCCTTCATCCTCAGCACCCCTGTCTGGTCGGCTGGCTGCCTGTTCCTGCATCCAGCAGGGACCGAGCCTGGAGCTGCTCTTGGAGCTGATGACTGCTATCTCCAGTGAAGCACAAAGGAATGAGTGTCACAGCTATGGCGACTCACAGCCACGGGGTCTGTCCCCACCTTTAAGTAGCAGAGCTAGGAGTGCACATGCCCAGTTGCTCAGTCCTACGGGTTCCCTCAGATACAGGTCCCTGGGTATCTGTCCACAGAAGTCTGATGATCGTGGCATACATGTGTGAAAGTGTGTGTGTGTCTGTGTGTGTGTGTGTGTGTGTGTGTGTGTGAGGGGAGTCAGGGGAGACTGTTGTGCCTGGGCTCCTGGGCATTGGATGGGAGGCTTTGTCCTCCTTTCTAGCAAGGCTCTCTCTCTTCCCTGAGCTCATCAAGAACAGCCTCCGCTGCCCTCAATGACGCCCAGGGCTGCCCAGCAGGCAGGTAAACCTGTGGCACCCAGCTTCACCCTTTTCAGGGGGCACCCTGCCCTCAGGTTCAGCCCACATGAGCCCCTCACATCTTCACAACCATCCCTACAGAACCAAGGCTGGCCACCCACTCCACAGATGAAGAAGCTGAAGATATGCTGGGATATCACACAATCAGGGTGAGATCACATCACAAGGCATTTTGTTTATTTCTTACCTTTGATAATACAACTTTTTAAAAATGTTATTTATTTATTTTTGGGGGTGGGCAGAGAAAGAGGGAGAGAGAGGATCCTAAGCAGGCTCCACGCTGTAAGCTCAGAGCCTGAGGCGGGGGCTCAAACTCACAAACTGTGAGATCACGACCTGAGCCAAAACCAAGAGTTGGACACCCAGGTGCCCAGATAATAAACTTTTTTACTGAAGCATAAATACTTTTAAAAATCCAAAAAGGCACATCTGGTAGAGACCTGGGAACCCAGGCCTGGCTGAGATGAGTGAATGTCAGGGGGGGAAGAGTCCCCTCTTAGAGGAGACAGCAGGAGAGAAGTGAGGAGCCCAGAGCCGAGCGATCTGCACAGGGGCCACTCGGCTTCCAGGAACATCTTACCTGGGAGCGTGTCCTGAGGCGCAGCGTGGAGATCTGTGGAGCCCTGGAGTGGGGACATATGCTGTCCCCTCCTCCAGGACTCCCCCCATGTCTTTACAAACAGTTTTCTTTGAGCCTCAGATTTGGGTGGTGTTGGGGTTGGGGGGAGCACCCACAGTCAGAGAGAGAAGCTATGCTTCCCAACAAGCGCCACCTCACGGTTCAGACACACTTCCTCCTGAAACCTTCCATGTCAGTCTCACAGAGGTTCACGTGGGTGGTGGGTGAGGCTGGACCCTGGCTTCATTTCTCCCCGTAATACCCAGCGTGGACTTACCCACTGCTGGCTTTTGAATACGGGGCTCTACCTAATGATCTCAGCTGGGAGCCACTCTGAACTGACACAAAGTCCCATTCACTATCCTCCCCCACTTTCCACCCTGGTAATTAGGAGAAAAAAACAAATAGAGTAACTAGCACCAGCGGCCCCCAGAAGTGTTTGTGGGTGGACAGATGAGCAGGGGCCACACCCTGGGAGACATAGGCCTCAAAACAACTCCTAAAGCCCTGAGGAATTGAATCCCCCACGCCTGGGGCCTTCAGAGGCCCGTGGTCCATTTTACAATGACCTTCTCCATGACTGACGCACAGCCACCCTTGGAGGCGAAGCTGAGATGTCCCAGCCCCTGGTCCTGTGCTGCTACGCTTCAGGGGCGGGCCCCCCACAGCCCTCAGGCTCCACACCTCTGCACCCAGCTTCTGCTCAGAGCCTGCTGTCCAGTTTGGGCCAGGAGAGTCACATGGCAGCCTCAGCCTCCAAGGACACAGTGTTTAACTGTCCCCTGTGGGCACGCCACTGCCCAAGCTGTCCTAGTTACAAGCCACGGGTCCAAGGCCGGCGGTGGGGAGACGGAGGGGGAAGCCCTTGGCTTGCCATCACTCTCCTCAGACCTCGCGGGTGCCCAGCTGCGCTCTCACCCGTGGGCCCCACTTCTGCTCCCACTCTGCCCCTGCCAAGGTCTCTCTCCAGGCCTGGCTCAGAGTGGGACCCAGCCTTCCCATGCCCATCCTGGCTTCTCTGTCGACAGTCCCAGGGGCCCACTCCACTCAGGGGTGAGCACAGAGACAAACAGGGAGGGGTCCTCAAACCCCTCACAGGCCCCACCCTGACCAGCACCCACTCCCTTGGAGGTGGGTGTGGCACCTCTTCTCCCAATCAGGTCGGTCTGGTCACTGAGGGCAGGCTGATCTCAGTGCTCAGAGCCAGTTGCTGGCTCTGGGGGCTTCTAGGTCCCAGGTCTCCCCGAGCTGACAGCAGGCTTCCATCCCCACACATGGCTCCTCTCTTCATGGCCTCCCCTTTTCTCTTACCTGCCTCCTTCCAGCCCATTCTTCATGCTACAGCCCTAACGTCATTTGGAACCACGAAGTCAGTCAGGTAACCCCATGCTTCATCCTTTGGTGGCTTCCATTGCTCTTGAGAGACAGCCAAACAAACCCCAGTTTGGCAAGGAGGTGAAGGAAAATAACACAGTACCACCTAGCTCACTGAAAGAAGAGGCCTGCTAACCCCCGCCGAACGCAGGCCCCAGAACAGCCTTGTTTTCAAGGAGGAGCCTCCAGGCGCAGGTGCCGCACAGTCTGGGTGTGGCTGCCTGCTGAGGAGGGAAGTATCTGAGAATGCCAGCTGCTGGCACCCGAGGACCCTACTGGGAGCTGGATTCAGGCCATAGGGGAAGGGGAGGCTTGATTGCATGGGGAGTCAAGTTCAGGTGCAGACAGACCCTCCTTCTGAGGAGGAGGAGCCAACCTGGTGCCTGGGCTCCTGGGCTCACTCACCAAGGAGTCCTTACGGTGCCCCAGCAAGGCTGGCCTCCTCTCTGTCCACGGACCACACACAGTCCCTCTGTCACCCAGCTTCTGCGCATGCATTGTTCCTGAAACTTCCCTCCACCCCTTCTCCGGGTCTCTGTTCCAACGCCACCTCAAGGTGTCAAGGAAGCCATCCTGAGGACCCAACTGTTCACAGCCCCCTGTCCATCCTGTGGGGCACTCGCTAATTGTGTCATTTATAGTGATTGTCATCTGATTGTGTCGTCTCCCTCCCCGGATCGCAAACGAGGCTGTTGGTTTCATCTTTGTGACCTACTGCGCCGCAGAGAGCCTGCACGTTGTCCCTGGAAAATCTCCGTGGTCCTTGCTTCTCAAAGTGCTGTCCACGGACCGACTGTATCAGCATGACCCGGAGCTTGCTAGAAACGCTCCAGACCTACTGAATCAGCTGACCTATCCACATTAAATGGGTGAGGTGCTAGTCTAGACTCTTCGGAGGACGTAGGGGTGGTGGAAGCTGCCCTGAGGGTGCACTGAGGCAACCCAGGGATTAGCAAGAGCAGCACGTGCTGTCATGAAGGCTGGAAGGACAGCAGAAGGAGGGTCCGCTGACCCCCCTGAAGAACCCCCTGGGACTCGAAGGGCGGGAGCTGTCCAGTAGGGTGATGTGGGGAGAGAGTGCTCACTAGTGGGAGCTGGAGCCTGGGTGGGGATGTGGCTGCCGGCAGAGGTGCCATGGTGAGCAGAGTGTGGGGCATGAACTCCTACCCGTCCTCTCTGGTCTCGTGTCTTCCTCACCTGCCTCCTAACAGCCAAAGCGGCCTGGAAGCCAGAGGGAGGGGGAGCTTGACAGGTGTGGTTCCCAGGGACAGAGAAAAGAGCCAGGAAGGGCAGTGGGGCACACAGCTTATCCCTCCTCGACCCGGCCCCCAACCTGCCACTGTAGCCAGTAGATGGTGTGGGGCCCCCACCGCAGCAGAGAGATCAGCTCTCTCAGTTCACCTGCAGGTGTTCTTGCTCCTTGATTTTTTTCACCCCTCTCCAGGGCCTGCTCATGGAGGGGTGGCCTGAGCCTTGGGTGGGCAGAGGTACCAGCTATTTGCTGGCAAGCTTCTGGGCTCCCTGAACCATCCCCTGTCATGCTTATGTTCAGTGTGGCCTAGGAGTCTATGAGCAATCACACTCATCACCCTTACACACACACACACACACACACACTCACACACACACACACACACACACACACACACACACACACCTAGTGCCGGAGAAAAAAGGGGTTGTGTGTGCATTGTGGTACCTGGAGCCCTCACCCACAGCTCTCCACTGACCTGCTGCTTGCTCCTCAGACCTCACTGGCATGGCTGGAGGTGGGAAAAGCCTTCTAGGTCCTTCATCCTTAGGGGAGTTCTAGGGGCATAGGAAGTCAGAGGCCTGAGAGCTGCCCTCAGGTGGCATAGGGGGCCTGGGCGTCTGCAAAGCCAAGGATCCAGGGAGGCAGGGGGGTGTAGTATCTTCTCTTAGATCAAGCAGGGGTTACACACAACTCAGCCTTGAGTCATCAGCTAACACCTCACCCACACTTGCTGGGGGACCAGAATCAACCAGCGTCATGGACACTGTCCACAGGGCCCTGATGCCAACTTTACTTTCCTCTGAGCCCCAGCATTCCTGTCTATTATAGAGAAGTCCTACAAGCTCTTATAAGAAAAGCCAGGAGGGCAGGCCCCTGGCTCCTGCATTTCTGTCTTTCTGGCCACAGCACCAGCGTCCAGGGAGGCAGGTCTCTCTGACTGGTCTAGCAGGCAGCCCTGTAATGCCACTTGCATGTCATTCCTATCCTCTTCGGTGCTAGGGATCAGTTTCCTCATCCTGAGGCTGGCAAGGGCTATCTGGTTACCCAGAGACTCCTGGGAAACTCCCAGGAGCTGTTGCCAGGGGAATATTAAATGTCTCAATGAGCATGTTCTTGTAGGCACCTAGCCAGCAGCTCACCTGCCCGCCCCCCCCCCTCGTGCCCCCATCACCTGGAACTGGTTTTGTCTGTAACCCTGTCAGGATAGGGCCCTCTTTCCCATGGCCCAGAATGGGGGTAGGGGGCATAAATTCAGAAATTCAGAAAGTCTTGCTCTTCTGCTAACCTCTGCTATAGAGTAGCAGGTGTAGCTCTGCCCTTTCACCTGCTGTGAGCGCCATCCATGCCCTTCCATCAGTGTAGGCCTGCCCACAGGGAGCCAGCTAAGTAGCCTATC